TGGCGACAGTAGTTTATTGATGTTCAATAACAGTCGATTCGACAGGGTAGAATCAGTGAAAGAGTAGACTGCACGTTTTTTTACTAATTATTATGCAGGTCATAGGAATTCGGTTGCACTGTTTTTTATCCAGGTTATATCCCGACGTTTGTTTAAATATGTTAATAGGCAAATTCGCGAATGAACAAAAAATGAAAACGGAGTTGGACAGGGATCATCTACAAGGTAAAAGTTTCTTTGTAGACATTGATGATGAATAATCCTGTTTAAAGTGAATAACTGGGGTCTGTTTTTATTCTATACGCTGTTTCAATGTATGTAGCCATACATTATGCCGAACTAGTGTAATTCCTTATTACCTCTGCTGTTGCCGAGGGAATCATTAGTTCAGTAGTCAGTTTTTCGGTACTGACTTGATTTATAACAAATCTTTCTCAAATTGACCGTTTATAGATTTTGAAATTATAAAAAAAAACTAAGGTTTCAACTCCCTAAAGCAAAGTTTATTAGGTATTAATTTTTCATATAGCTCTTCAACTGTTTCGGTTCTAATGCATTCTCGGCTTTCAAATATTCGACTATGGGCGTTCAATCGAAGGTAAATCAAGAAAAGCGCTTGGGACACATGAAAATATTTAACGTGTTGTTTCCATTTTTTATTAACTTTTTAAACTCAAATTTAAATATTTTTAGTAATATTCCAGTTCAAACAATACCTTCTCATCCCATTTTGGGGTCTTCCTCCATGGTTCTTCGAGAATAGTTAAGTCTATCAAATGAAATATTTATTCATATTTTAGAAGAAAATTTTGTCTATTGTCTATTGTCTATTCATCAACTGCTCAATTATTATTCACTGTTTGAATATGCAATAGTTTACATCAATAATTTTACCTTTGCTTTTTTAAGGTATGATTTATTTTTCCAGATATTTGAAGTAAGAAGAAAATAAAGGTTGTTAAAAAAATAAGTTCACAACTAACATATATTTTATGTTTTGTTTACCTCAAAATCATGTGATTGTATATGTCTTCGTAAATTGATTCCTTTAGCTTGACCGTTAGTCGTTTCCTTTTTGAGCTTGTTACAGCTGTGTTGGGAAATTTTGCAAATGGGTGACTTGACGTGTTACTGTATAAAAAGAAAAGTACTTTGTGGAATTGGAACGAAATTTTCAAACTGGTATTTGGTTTAGATAATAAAAAAAACATTTTGACTGATTTAAATTTTTATATTCATTATGTTCCCTTATATTCTTTAAGTTTTGGTGGAACAGCGAAAGTTTATCTAATGCATTTACCCTTAAGGACTATTGGTTTCTTACTTATAGTTAAATTATACGAGTATGCTTTAAACTTACCCTCTACCAAATACACTTCCATATCTTTGATTTGCAAATGTCCATTAGCTATAGAACTATATGTTTCGCTATTCATTGTATATGAATGACCAAAGCTGATAGCCCCGTTCAATTGATAATACGTTCTACTGCTGTTTATAGCGCCTGTACATGTTCTGAGATCATGTCCACCACCGAAAGTAGGACCATAAGAAGCCTCGTCGTAAATGGTATTATTATTATTACCATTAAATGGCATTTTACTGGAATCCACTTTCCATTCTGGTAAAGCCGAAATAGGAAAGCATTTGCATCGATATGATAGGCTCCAGCACTTCTCCAACTAACGGAAGTATACCCACCAAAAACGGAATTGTTGGTATTGTACAAAATAGTAACCGTTGGTCCCCTATTATTGTATTTATTATGAAATGCAGTTGCAGTACATCCATCCCTTGTTGCTTTGTATAGCAGTGTGTATTTTTTATTCCCATCAATCCATTTGTCCATTTGCAATTGGTCATTCTTCTTAAATTCAACGCCCATTTTGATGGAGTTTTATTCCTTTGATATCTGATTTATATCTAAAAGTATTTTGTAATTCAATTTGGTACAGTAGAATTATATTATGTGATATATTATATGATTGATAATTTGACAACTATCTTCCATACACTGAGACTAAGACTACTTTCATGTACACGACATTCGATCTTTTTTCTTAATGTAAATGTTTAAAAGAAATCATTTTTTTTGTTCAATTGTTTAATTTGATTATTGATGAAGATTGTAGATTTGAAACTAACCTTCCTTTCAGAAAATAGTACACGAAGCTGTTACAATTGTATGTACACAATAACACACATCCAACTGATAGCACACATTAGTGGACATGATTTATTTTGTTGGTTAAAAATTGGGAAGAATGATAACGTAATTTGTTATATATTGTAGAGTTTTCAAATTATTAACAGTGACAAATGTACCCAATGTACAATGGAAAATAGTGACGAATCATCTTGCAAATTGAACTCTTCGGTGTTGGGAATTTTTCCATAGGCTTTTGATTATTAGATCGCTACAAAAATTCTTGAAAATGGTAATAATTATAACGATTTACAACTATAAAAGGTTGTAATTCACTGTTTTATTTTTCTCATTAGATAAGAAACGATGAGAACAGTAAGATGTCGATGTTTTCTCAGCGTAAAATTGTAAACGTACCAATCTCAATTTATATTTTCTACTGGTTGTAGTGCATATGTCACAGGAAAATAACAAATCTCCAAATATAAATAAAGCTTTACTTGAGAAATTACAGACAAATATATCAACATAACTTATCATAGAAACCAGGATTGAAATTTTGTATGCCAGACGCGTTTTTAATCTACAATAGACTCATCAATGACGTTCGAAACAATAAAGTTAAAAAGACCAAATAAAGAACAAAGTATTAATTATATTTCTTCTTCACACAAAAAAAAGTCGAAGGGTAGGATATTTACCAATGCAAAAATTTTCTTTTTACTACTTTGGTAAAAACATTTGAAAAATCTTTCAAATAACTCACAAAAACACTCACCTGAATAATTTCTCCTTTCAGCCAGTTTTATTTTTGGGTATAAACGTTTGATTTTACCCACCTCAAGAAGGATGCAATATTTTTATCAGGAAGATGGCAGTTTATCTTTCAGTATGCGCTGTTTAAAAATTGTCCCGCTTTACAATAAACTGCTCTTACGATTTATTTAATTGATTCATGATTACACATAATTTTCATTATCCATGATAACATGATAAATTTTACTATCATTTAATAATTATCTGTTCTAAATTATGACATCATATGAAAAACCAAACTAAAATGAAAGTAGGAATTCGGGAAAATACTGAAATTTAATAAAGGATACAATCAGTTCTTGTGTTATCAAAAGCTATGGTCAATGATTTATTTTGTAAAACGATCCTTCAATGTTTCCCTTTATTTCATGCTAATTGTTTCTTTTACTTATAATATTATAGCATCATATGAGTACTTGAATCTTATAACAACATTATGTCGTATGTCTGAGCTGCATATTTGAACTGTTTAATCAAATTTTGAGTATTGTCTTAAATGAAAATCGTTAAACACAACCAAAATAGAATTTCATTTGAAGTTCAACTTATAGCGTCTCTCAGATGCAACTTTATTTATTTTGGTTGTAGGTGCCATTTGATGACATGTTAAATTCATAATTTTGTATCAATAGCATCAACAGCAATGTATAGTGAAGATTAAGATTTTAATTCTTTTGATATATAAAAAAAAATCAGTTAAATTCTGATTGACTTTATTGGCTTTCCTCCTTTTCCGAAATTTAAATGCATGTTCTTTGAAAACGTTTTCATGTTTTCACATTGTTTAAAAACTTGCTTTTAAAAATGTTTGATCCTCTACATGTGGAGCACGACCTGCTTACGTTTCAGAAGCACATGATATAACCCTAATTTTTTGGTTGGGTTCATGTTGCTCAGACGTAGTTTCTTTTTTATGTTTTGTAAACTGTCTTTTCGATTTCTGACATTGCTTTGTCAGTTTGTCATCGATTTGTGGGTTTGATTATCCATTTTGGTATCTTCCGCCTCTCTTTTATACATATGAATAACGTTCTAATTTCTTTGATTTAGGTAAAATTGTTGAAAAAGTTTTAAAATTAAATTTATTACCTTTCCAACTTTGACCCAAAGACTGAATAATATTGACCCACAATTGTAAGTCTTATTTTATACATATGAATACATATGAATAACGTTCTAATTTCTTGGATTTAGGTAAAATTGTTGAAAAAGTTTTAAAATTAAATTTATTACCTTTCTAACTTTGACCCAAAGACTGAATAATATTGACCCACAATTGTAAGTCTTATTTTTTCATAACACATGAATGCATAATACAGTTGTAAATACACCTTTTTGTTAATAAATTATATCCCATAATAAAATTAAAAATCTATGAGAAAAAAAACATTGAAATGAATAAAGACAGGATTTGTTTAATTAAGAGTGTCACTAAATGTAATGGTTTATCAAAAGGACTTTGACATAATCCTATTATCAAAGACATCCATTGATTGTTATTGGTCATTTTGACTGTATCTGGGCATGGGTTATCACTTTGATTATTATGACCCATTGCTTTATCAAGATTATTCAACACATATTGTTGTTTTGAAAGGAATGTTTTGATGAGATAAAAACTAACTGAAATATTCTAATGATATGTGAATAATACTAACATGTTATATCATTGTTTAAATATCTGTGTGGAGTGTAAATACAAACAATACATTTTGTAACATTATCAGAAAAATGTGTTCATTCAGTGGCTATCATTGTATGTATGTTTGAATGCTGGAACACCCCGACTGTCTCTACATGAGTCATTTATTCTCATTTTGCAATTTGAAACCTCAATATAATGCCTGGCTGCGCCAGTGGTATTGTGAGAAGTTTCGAATAGAAGGTTCAATCAAGTAATCTTAACGCAACGATTTCTTCACTTTTATTGTTATGACAAAAAATGCAAAAGATGTATTAACCTCCTAAATTATCCGAAAAGTCGTATAATCAATTTGAGTATTGAATCTTGTTTGTAATGATGGAAATGTTAACTAGACCACTTCATTCAATTTATTTCGTTAAATAAATACATGGGAAGTACTGAAAATGTAAGCTCTTTTATAAAACTAAAACAAATGCAATTACACAATGTAATAATCAATTACATAGGGTCAAGCAGAAATATATTTAAAACAATGAAATGTATGTTGGTTTTAGCACAAAATAAGTGCATAAGACTTCTTAAATTTCCGTGATCACGTTAGTTAATGATAATGAAAAGTTATTTGAAGTCTTGATAAAAACAAATACAAGTTCTATTAGTTATACATTTTTTAGCATAAAGGTATGTTTTGAATATACTATGAGATTTACAATTAAACTTAAAATGTCACTGTAAAGAAGGAACTACTTTACTCTCTACTACTGAGCTTTTGGATTTTTTCCTCTTCAATTTGGTCAAGGTAGTTGCACATGTAGTCATCAGAGAAATGTAACATCTGCTGTAATGTCAGCAAAGTTAGAATGTTTACGTTTTCATTTAGTTCCATCTCTGACTCATAATTTTTAATTGGAAGAATGTGTGACCTTGGAAGTCCTATTATCTGTGATACTCTGTTTATTGTTTCCTGGATAACTGAGCTGAAGAAAACCTTTGAAAGGTTTTCAGCCGTAGTTTCACACATCTTGTCTATCTTTGTTAGCAACACCACTTGTGGAACTCCTGTAATATTTTTGACAATCCAACTATAAACAAAGTTAACACAGACTTAAAACCAACAATGGAATAAACAGAAAGCTAAAATCTTTCCAACTCGCTCTCTCTCTCTCTCTCTCTCTCTCTCTCTCTCTCTCTCTCTCTCTCTCTGTTAAGAAAATAATATAATCCAATCAAGGAGAATATGACAACCGGATTTGTTTATCATTCCATGACACCTGAGATCGGTTTAAGTGAATACAGTTGCCCAGTAATTAGTTTCTTGTAGTGTTTTGTGAACTTGTTTGTCTTTTCTTCCTTTTTTAATTTTTGCAAAAGTGTTGTTTTTTTTATCTTCGATTTATAATTGTGTATGGTCACTTTGGTGACTGCTGTCCCTTTTTCATATATTCATAGACGTACATGGATATTCACTGAAATTATCTAACTAATATAATCTAAGATCTTTAAGCACGAGGGAAAATTCTGGTTAAGAAATTCAGTCCACATACGAAATTTCTATGAGGGTTAATAGGTGGCCTGTTGTGTGGTGTGAGGCCAAATTTCGGCACATGTCCAACAGTCTTAATTTTCTGCTTTTAGACGATTAAACAACTTTGAAGAACGTATCATGTGAATCAAATTTGAAGTTGTTATTTTTTTGCAACTCGACGCTTAACAAACAAAAAGTTAAAATAACAAAAATACCAAACTCCAAGGAAAATTCTAAACGGAAAGTACCTAAGCAAATGGCAAAATCAAAAGCTCAAACACATCAAACGAATGGATAACAACTGTCATATTCCTGACTTGGTACAGGCATTTCTTATGTAGAAAAAAATGGATTTAACCTGGTGTTATAGCTAGCTAAACCTCTCACTTGTATGACAGTACCATAAAATTCCAGTCAATAAAATATATCATATACCCTTAAAGTATGTTTCCATTATTGATTCAAGTATTATAGACAAGTTTTATGATGTTTTATCAAAGTACTCCACTGTTTTTGTACAAAATGCGAAATTACGACTGGACGGATGTACAGCGGTAAACCATAACACTTCCTGCACTGACATTTACATAAAACCAATAATTATACATGTGAGAGAAAAACTGAAATTTTACTCCTTTGATGTAATACGCACAATTTGCGCTGTCAGTATGCTTTCAGTGATGTTGCATCACAATACACCGCTCTTTAGTAAAACTAAATACGTGTAGCTGACAAACTTTATTCTTATAAGACATTTTTTAGCAAATTACACAAAATGTTGTATGCATTTTGGCTAGTTGGAATGGTATGATGTAGAATCATACTGACCTCGTTGATTCATGCGACTCTGAAGTGTCTTCATCCTCTCAATAACCTTCTCTGGCATGACATCAACTGTGCTGCCATCTATGACAAACACGACACAGTGTATCTTTTCTGAAAGATGGGGGCTAGTTACAAATCCTGGAATGTCTGTTGATAGAGGAACTGAAGGATTCAACTGAAAAATGATACTTTAATTTTTAACCTGTATAGTAAATATAACACTATAACTTTGGTTGCTAAAAACCCATGTGCTATTTTTAGTATCAGCGGCCACGTTAAACATGGTGAGAGCTGGACTGAATGATAGAAGGCGTTTTAATTCTATATATCATACCAATTTCATATATTCAAGTGGCCGATTTTTGCAAATTGGCAAAAAGGAGATTTATATGTATATGATAAAATTGTATATTGATTTGACGTTTCTGCTTAGATTCGATCAGTGCAGGTTATGTAAGTCTCGTACCATAGAGCTACCAGAAAAAAACATCAATGATCACAACCAAACAATGACAGATTCTCAAACTAACTTGTGTGATGTCATTATAAAGCTTTCATTGATAAACATGTGGTCATCTCATATTCACTGACCATGCACATGAACAGACGAATTGGCTTGGACGATACTTTCAAAAAAGTTTGACATCTTCAGTATTTTGAAATAATGCTGAGAATAGTCTGCTGTTCTTACCTAGTTTTGTATGGACAATACAATAGTATTGTATGAAAATAATAAATTTTCTCATGATCAATGATTTTTTCAAGAGGGGAAAATTGTTTACCAATGCTCAGAATTTGTTAGTCTATTTTTAATGCACAAATAACCAAGAGAGAAAAAAAATCAGGTATTCACATGAACTCCAGTGTTCGTCTTTAAGGTACAAGAATCACCTCTTATACTTGTATCACAATCATGTGATCAAGAATCAATTGGTAAGATGTCTCGATACGGAATTGACATCATCGGTAAAAACATATCAGGCGCTGTTGTATTTAGATGTGTTTTCATATTTGTGACCGTTATACTTGTGTTGTCGAGTTCAGTTTCCATAACCCTTCTAGTTGATTTTTGCATCAGGCAACTGCTGATAAAGTTCGTAAATGTAAACATGCACTCTCCTAATGTACCAATTCAGATATGGAAGCACCATAATATGGGACAGCCGGTTTCATTAGTTTTCTATGTAGTATTTTGCGAACAATTGTTGTCTTTTCATCTTTTTTTTCTTTGTAACTTTGATTTTACTTTCTTCGACCAACGGTTTTTGAATGCCTTCTTGATTGATTCTGCTTTGTTATTTACTACTGAGAAATGGGTTATTTACAATCAAAAATCTGATATAGTCACGTTTTTTTCAAAAATCCTATTATGAAGACGACCAACAATGTCTATTTTGAGATAGGGATATACAAACATTGAAGATACAAATCAGATTTTCTGGTTTCGGTAGTATCCATAAAGAAAAACGTCCTTTTGCACAAAATAGAATGTTCTAAAAATTTATTTTCTCTATTTTTCTTCTTTATATAAGAATTATTCATATTGTAAAATATGACCCATAAATATTGTGGTGCTGCAAACCTTACCATTTGGGTCAAACAGATGTGGATTCTTAAAAGTCTTAACATCCGCGGCATAATTTTGATACAAAATCATAAAAATTTTGTAATATTAATAACTTTCAACTATGCTATACTGTATACTCATATTCCTCAAGATTAAAGATTGACTATATCTTATCATACAGCGCTTTTTTGTACAAAAATGAAAATGCACAATGCATAGTTTCAGGTTACTTAAAATCGTACTTTGTGAAAAACCGAACGGGTTCTTACAAAATCTACATCGAGAACGATAGCATTTTAAAAAAAGATAGACTAAATAATCGACAACATATTTGTAAATTTTCGTTGATTGATTTTACAACAAACAGTCGGTATTCCATTAGTAATAACTATGCATGTCGAATGTATGCATTATTTCTTATTCAAGTGACGCAGAACACATACAAATGGTGCAAGCTGGGGTCAACATTAGGGTTATAAGATATCGAAACATTAACTAAATGTTTTATATTTTGTCAACGCTTGGAATCCAAAGATGACCCAAATTAATTCCTAATCAACTTGGCACCACGATTTTGTTTTAGTTCAGTATTGATAAATCTGGCTACCTGGTGTCGATCTGGTATATGACCGTCCAATAAGAAACACATTTCATGTGCATCAATTCCTTGGTCTACCTCGATTCCTCTGGTATCATGTAGTCTGAAATTTAGTGGTTCGCCTGATGTCAAATTCCTGATTTGATACATTCGGTACTACAAAAGAAAATTGCAAAAAAAACCAAAAATATCCGACACTATATACAGTATATCTACATGATATACAATATAATAAAAACCTATGTATTTGTAAAGATATTCATCGACCTAAAAAATTAACAAATTGTATGTCCTTAATCCTTTTTAAGGGAAAAAAAACATGTTCCTAAAAAGTCAAGGAAAGTTTGAAGCAAATGTGTTGAAACCTTCAGTATGACTTTTAAAAAGTTAAATTCTTTAAATAAAGCTTGTCAACAATCGTACATTTAAAATTGACAATTATTGGTACATCAAATATATTTTTTTCCTTTGTGATAAAATTGTGTTTGAATTTTAAAATGGGTGTAACTATATCTTTTGCAGTGGTTACACTTCCTTTTAACTCCTGAAACTTATTTAAAAAAAAAAACACTTTAACATAATACGATATACAAACATGGCCTTTTATTTTCCTTCGTGTAGGCCAGTACGAATTGTCGCGCATGATTTTAATTTACTGTGGTATACTTCTTATCCGAAGAACAGTCTTTCTGTATGTGATATCCTATCAAGTCACTTGCCCGGTGTCAGCATGCTGAGTTTGTAAAGACAATGTTGACACTCGTCATTAATTAAACAAGCCAGAATAAACAATATTATATTCACATGACATATGAGACGCATAAATTTAATTTCCAAAAAAAATAGAATAATTCGATTTTATACAATTTCAAATATACAAACTAAAAAGGGACAAATATAAGACTCTTATATATAACCAAGTCCATTGTGTGGTTATATATGATGCAAAGACTTTGTTAAAAATATGTTTGGAATAGCTAATAATTATTTTCATAAAGGAGATTATGGGTTCATAATAGATATAGCCTCCTTGATTTCAGTGACATGATTTTTTCAAGGAATATGCAATGAGTATAAATATGGAATATCTAGATGTTTATCATATAACAATAGCTTGTAATTCATCATGGACTAATAATGCACAATAGTCATCAATACAAAAGTTCAATAAAACCGTAATTTTGTTTCAACTTTTTACATTTTGAAATCATACAATAACACATTTGATTTAGAAATGGATGTTCTTTGGGATTTATCGTTTATATTCGGAATAAAATCGAAATAGTGAACGAAAATATAGTATTTGAATATAAACACGAGCATCGCAAAATTTTGATTTTTAAATAGATAAAGGCAGCTGTTCAATAGTCATAAATCGATTAAGGGAGAACAAATCCGGGTTACTAACCAAAAACCGAGGAAAACAACGGAAAAACAGAAACACTGAACTGCAACAAAAACAAACGCCAACATACATAGAAACTTACTTTTTAATTATGTGATAGCTTCAAGAATGTTTTGTTACTTTCCGATTTCACTCTCCGTTCAATCTAGATAGCTGTGAGACATTTCCTCGAAAGGGCATCGAACCCTTAATGAATTAATGTCACCTTTCCATTCAAGTGGTGCATTTCTTTCATAATTCATAAAACACTCAACACGAACTTATTGTGCTAGAATGTTTATCTTATTGATTAAATTATTCTAAATTTCTGCAAAAATTGAAGGAATTCACTTGAACAAAAATCATGAAAATGTGTCTGTGTGTCTTCATTCACACAAATTATCAATTTTTCAAATACAATTTGTTTAATACTTTCGCGTTAGAATTATTTAAAAAAACGAATAAAGAATAGAACTTTACCTAATTTTTTCTAAAAGTCAAGTGGATACAAGGAGAATGTGCCTTAAATAATAAGCAATTCTAAATCTCTAGTTGAATTAATTTCAATTTGAAGCGGTTTTAATTTTGTTATCTCTCCATTACCATATACATTTTGTACTGTATACATTTATTTTCATTGTCTGCTTGTTCACTTATCAAAAATATTTGGCATTTTCGGAGAAAAATTCAAATTTCATTTAAATTTTTGTTAAACATACATAGAACACATTTGTTGCAAGAAATAATGTTTTCCCACTAACAAATCATCACAGAACAAAATTCTTTCTTTTTCTAAATCTCTTTTATGCGAGAGTGGATCAATATCATTACATGTACAAAATGTATGTGTCAAACGACAAGATTTCTATAATTTCGTCATTTGTAGGTCACTGTCACTTCACAGCTATTAAACCAATGAATTTTTTTTTCTCTCATTCAAACGTGCAGTGTTTCTTTGAAATAATAAACGTTAATTCTAAAAATTGGAGCTATCAAATCAACAAAATTGTCCCTATCCTTACAAAATGTTTATCATTAATCAAAACATACACAATTACAAAACTTGTCAAATGTAGTACTACTCACAACAGTTGTTACGCTATGCTCTGCATTACCACTACATGCCTGACTTGTTATATATCCTTTAAAGATTGAATTGATGGTGTTAAAGAAACTGGATTTTCCTGCTCCTACTTGTCCAACCAATAAAAGACGTGCCTGGGGAACTTTTAGTTCCTGAAGAGGTTTATATTGTTCTATCTTTTCTTTCAAGTCATTAAGTAGCTTACATAAAAGATAAATATATATATATATATTATGTCTTGCGGGAATTTTGCAGATAAGTAAGCAATAGCCGACTTAGATATTAATATTGAAACTTACCGAGGTACGTTTGGTCCGTGTATGTCCAGTTCATGAATTTTGTACCAAAACCAGAATCACAACTCCGTCAGACAAACTTTATATTGATTTAATTGTTCGTTGTATATTCTTTTGGTTTTCTAGCTTTCAAACGTGTAGTGTTTTGTATTTCAAGTGTATCAGAAGAAGGTTACTCGAAAGTCAATAGTTTGGCGGAGTTAAGATTTCTCAAAATTTCTAGTGATAAACCGGTTTGCGAGGTTTAAATTTTACGTTTTTCATGTACACATTCCCGTTATGTCTCTTATTGGAAGAACAAAGATGCCAGATCATTTAATTTCATTCAGATAAATTGACGTTGTTTTTCAAGAAAAAAAGAAAGTTCAAGAATCATGGTTATGTCAAAGAATGTCTCGTCCTTTCTCTAAAAAAGTTCATCGGAAGATACCAAGACCTTGTTGATAAATACTCTGTATCAACTTCACAAATAATACATGATGGTCTTGAAGTATAGATTATAGATACTGACGTTGTCTATCATCTTAATTACGTGTTGTAGTGTTCTTTTTATTTGTCTTTGTATATTTTAAACCTTTCTGTTTCCTTTTTGAATTTTCCTTGGAGTTCGGTATTTTTGTTATTATACTTTTTATTACACATACTTACGGTATTCGAACTGAAGAGGTAGAATTATAAAGTTAGTCATTAAAATCGCATATGCTATCTTAACCTTTATGACAGGAAAAATTAAAATAAAAAAGAATATGTCAAACATCATTTACATACTATGGGCTATGTGAAAGAAAGATTGGATTAGAGGATTGAAATAGAAAAAGTGGTTAACATATTAACAATATTCACAAAATCAAGATAACAGTACTTAAACGAGTGTGGATTGTACTCGATAGAATATATACCAAACACAGATAAGTTCTCATTATATTTTAAAATGTATCGACAGTATCTTGATCATACTTGGTTGATTAAGGCAAGAGTAGTTCATCGATGTTCAATAAAAGCTAATTCTAAAGGAGAATCCTTGAAAGAGTAAACTACATGTTTTTGCTGTTAATTTAACAGTTTATAACAATAATTGATGTCGAACTAGTATTGGTTTTTTTCAATTTTCCTAGCTCAAATTTAAACATTTTTAGTTATATGTCAGTCCAAACAGTACCTTCTCATCCCATTTTGGGGTCTTCCTCCATGGGACTTCGAAAGATGGTCCAGCAGGTAAGTCTATCAATGAAATATTTATACATACACTTATAATGTATAGCAAGATTAAAATAGTGTACGCCAGATCAGCGTTTCGTCTACAAAAGACTCACCAGTGACGCTGGAATCATATTAAAGAAGAAAATTTTGTCTATTTATAAATTGCTCAAGTATTATTGACTGTTTGAATACTAGTATGCCATAGATTACAACACCAAAATTTACTTTGCCTTTTTAAGTCATGATTTATTTTTTCACGGAATTCAAAGTCTGAAGAAAATGCAGACAGTTAAAAAATAAGTTCAACACTAGCATATTTGTTTTGTTAACTTCAAAATCTTGTTTTGTTTATGTCTCCTTTAGCTTGTCTATTCCTTTTTAAGATTGTTACAAATATGTTGGAAAATGTATGAGTTACTTGATGAGTTACTGTCTAACAGTGAAAGTCACTGAAGGAATGGGAACAAAATTTTCAAACTGGTATTTGGTTTAGATAATATAAGATATTTTTACTGATATTTATGTTTCTTTTTCTTTTAAATTCTTAACTTGTAGTAACACAAGGAACACGACAGGTGCCACATGTGGAGCAGGATCTGCTTACCTTCCGGAGCACCTGCTATCATCCCCAGTTTTTTGTGGGGTTCGTTTTGCTAAGTCTTTGGTTTTCTAAGTTGTGTTTTGTGTACTGTTGTTTGTCTGTTTATTGTTTTCTTTTTTTAGCCGTGTCAGTGTCAGTTTATATTCAACTTATGAGTTTGAATGTCCTTTCGGTATCTTTTGCCTCTATTTAACAAATTTTGTGATACAGCGAAAGTTTATATAATGCATGTGCCCTTAAGGACTAAGGACTTAAGGTTTCTTACTTATGGTTAATATATACGAGTATGCTTTGAACTTACCATCTACTAAATACACTTCTATATCTTTAATTTGCAAATGCCCATTAGCTATAGAATTATATGTTTCGCCATTCATTGTATATGAATGACCAAAGTTGGTAGCACCGTTCAATTGATAATACGTTCCACTTCTGTTGACAGTGCCTGTGAATGTTCTGAGATCATGTCCACCACCGAAAGTAGGACCATAAGAGGCATCGTCGTAAATGGTAGTATAATTACTACCATTAAATGGCATTTTAACTGGAATCCAGTTTCTATTCTGGTAAAGCCGAAAAAGGAAGGCACTTGCATCGGTATGATAATCTCCAACACTTCTCCAACTAATGGAAGTATACCCACCAAAAACGGAATCGTTGATATTGTACAAAATAGTAACAGTTGGTCCCTTATTATTGCATTTATTATGGAATGCTGTTGCCGTACATCCATCCCTTGTTGCTTTATATAGCAGTGTGTAATTTTTATTCCCACCAATCCATTTGTTCATTTGCAATTGGTCATTCTTCTTAAATTCAACACCCATTTTGATGGAGTTTTATGCCTTTTATATATGATTTATATCTAAAATTATTTTGGAACTCAAAATTATACAGTAAAAATATATTATATAATATGTTATAATTATTTTACCTTTTTCGTAAATATCAATGCAAATTAAAACAAATGTTTCTTTGGTTCATTTTTTAAATTTTATCATTGAGGAAAAGATGTTTCCTTTAAGAAAATAGTTGATTTGAAAAGATGCTTCCTTTAAGAAAATAGTACATGAAGCTGTAACAATTGTATGTACACAACCACCCACATTCAATAGATAGCGTACATTTATTGGCATGATTTATTTCGTTTAAAATTGCGGAAGAATGATAACATAATTTTGTTTGTGTATTGTAAAATTAACAATGACAAATGTACTTATAACTTTAAAAAAAAAGTGAAGAATCATCATCACCCTTGCAAATGAAATTCGGTGATTCTATTTTTTGCATACGCTTTTGATTAAAAGTTCGCTAGGAAAACTGAAGTAAATAGTAATAAAGAAAACAAATAACAATGATAAAAGGTTATAATTCACTGTTTAATTTTCCTCGTTAGATAAGAAGCAATGAGAAAACAGCGGGATGTCGACTTTTTTCTCATCGTTGCATTTCTAACGTACATACCTCAATTTATATTTTCTAGTGGTCACTGGAAAATAACAAATCTTCGAATATAAATAAAGTTTGAATAAAATGAGAAATTAGAGACAAATATTTCAACAAAAACGAATAAAATTTTGTATACTTTTAAATCAAGTCAATATTAAAGGCATTTTCAAAATGATTCTATTTAGACATAAAATTTAAATATTATTTGAATTTTACCTTTCCAGTCACGACGAATTATTTTGTCAATATTGATGAGATTTCTTATTTCCAGTTCAGGAACTTAGTCTTTTCTTATAAAATTCATTCTATCTAACAAACACCTGTGAAGAATAAATAAGACATTATACCAGACCGTTTTAATTCGTCTACTTAAAAAGGTTGTGGAATGTTTCCGCTCCAAATCGTAAGAAAAGACGGATCAGAATTATATTTTCCTTGTCATTTTAAATTGAAAAAATGTGTCTTATTTCATTTAAATACATCCAAAAATTGGTGTAGCGTAAATAATTTCAACAACAGGTGAATATTCTGTCTTGATTTTCGGCCCGTTCCATTACGGCTTTTTTCCAGATTGGACCGGTCCGAAAGGCAATATTAACTCATGATTTATATCAAAAGAGGGACTTTATCTGTTTTGCACATGCTGATTTATCCGTATTAGGGCTAATTAGCTCATATCATTAAATTAAGAATGTCTGTCTTAAAGTGGTCGTATATTAAGACATAAAATGATATTCATGTGACTGCATGGCAGGTATTGTTATCCTTTACGACAGACAAAATAGATGATCAGCAAGGTATAACATGCATACATGATACATCTTGTTTCTATCCTAGATAAAAGCCAATTAGGACAGTCATCATCTACTCAGGGAAACTAGAGTTCTATGGCTCTGACCACAATGTAGGCGGTGTTGCCGTATTGTTACAGAAGCATAGTCTCAAATCAAACCAGGTACAAAAAATATAGAAATTGCATTTTCATCAGCTAACCTTTTGAAGAGATACAAAAATGTTCTTTTAATAAATCAAAATAGTATTTATCATTTATAATTGGAATATTCAAAACCATCTATGGGTACAACGAATGAAATGTTCGTTAGTCCGAACGATTGTTAAATCTTTATGTTTGGTTTGTTGCCTTTAAACGGTTATCCTAGTACGAAATTAATTTTGTCGCACCAATATCGAATTCCTCACAATTTGAACATACGAGAGAATAAATTACTTTTGTACTTTCACATACTACCATACTAGCATATATCAATTATATATATATATATTTAAATTATTGACACTGACGAATGCTAATTGTTCAGACGAAATATTTGTCAACGGGATTAGATAACATCATTTTCGCATATAGCCATCTTATATTAGTACCGTTGCGCAAATATTTAGATTTTTATATTTTTTTCCTTATCCGCGCATTATTGTCTATTCTAGACGATCTGGTACATATAGCTAGTTGGTTCTTTTTATTGACTATATATATTTGGTATTTGGGAACATCATAGTCTTTTATTCCTTGTCAGTATTTTATATCTCCTGAACCTCCATATATGCATCATATCATTTATTTAGCTTGGCATTGTGAAAATGAGTATTACGTTATATTATTTTTAATTGACTAAGTAATTAACATATATCTAAATAAACTCATCAGATATAACATAATATACCAGGATTCAAATTATGTACGCCATGTTTCGTTTACAAAAGACTCATCAGTTACGTTCGAATGAATAATGGTAAAAACGACAAATAAAGTAAGATGTAATTTATCTCTTTTTCTTCATACAAGAAAAGAAGGGGAGGATATTTACAGATGTAAAAATAAACTTTTTACTAATTTCTTAAATCATTTAAGAAATCTTTCAAAGATCTTACAGAAACACTCACCTGAATAATTTCTCCTGTCAAACAATAAGTCTTGATATTTAAACGTTTGATTAACTCCACCTTAAGAAGTGTGCATTATTTTTAACAGGAAGATGTCGGGTTATTTTCTGGTGTGCTCTGTTTGAAAATTGTCCTGCTTTACAATAAACTGCTTTAACGAATGATTTCAATTATTTATGATTACACATTTTTTTCATTGTCCACGATAACATGATAAATTTTGCTATCATTTGAAACTTATTTGTTCTAAATTATGACGTTCTATGGTAAAACCAAGCTGAAATAAAAGTAGGACTGTCCTACCAGATTCATAGCATACATATAAACACATATACATACATATATCAATATATATCGTTGTACAAATCTTTAGAATGACGTTTGACATACACTTATAAATGAATTCCGGTAACCCGGAAACTTACTTTTATCAAATTTAACCAGGAACAAAACTTTACCATAATATTTTTCAACAAAGCGAAATATTTTGTAGTAGGTCTTTTAATATGATTTATTGTGAAGTAATAAATATTTTTGGATATGTAGAATTATGATAGTTGAGGGAAATGCACAGATATTGAAATATGGTTCAACAGAAGGAATAGACCACTTTTAAATTCGTTGCATTTTCGTCAAAAACTTTGGTTTTAGATAACATCATTCGTGCGTTTAGGGGCATCGTCACTTTCTTCCCATGTTCTGTGAGCGATTGAAAAAATATGATGCTATATTGCACGAATTATTCGGCAAATCAAATTCTTATAATTGATAAGCAGCAATGCTGTCATTAGGGAATATGTGATTTAGTACCTACGGAGCAAACATTATTTCTAGTTTATCCTGCGTAATGACGATCACGAAGACGCTTGATGAACTTTAATAGTGCAGGGATACAGACAATCCCCTCTATCTGGTAAATGACGTCATAAAAGCGCGCATAATTGACGCACTTTTCCAGTGAAGGACATAACTCGAAAGTATGCAGGTATCTATTGTCCAGTTATCATCTATTTCAATTCTTAACAACTCACTTATAACATTACATAAGGGAACATATCAAACATTTTTTGCAACTTGATTTTTTTTTTGGCATCTTTTGTGGGAACGAAAAAAAAAAGGAATCTGAAAATCTATGAAAGTGATTATTACTAAAATCTAAAATGCATTTAAAAATTAGTTATCCATTTCTTGCCACACCTTAAAACTTTACCAGGTGCACAGGTGTGTGTGTACTCGGAATAAAATTTGTGTAAACATGACCATATTTGCTAAAAGGATATGATGAACCTTTATTCTTATTTGTAAAGGGAGAACTTATTAAAAGGTCGTATTTAATGTAAAGGGAGACAATTGCAATGCATTACTCTTAAACGGAAACGTATCTACTCTTATCTAGACAATACAATATTTTATTATTGAATGCATAGCTCTTAAGGAGCATAACTATCAAAGAATGAAAATGCGTATCTCAACACAAAATGCACATTAAAGATTGCATCATTCATATAATGAATATTTATTGATAAATGAAACCCAAATGTAATCTTATTTCCTTCAACAATCTTTTTGTTGAGAAGTTCGAAAATAATTTTATTTCTGTATCATTAAACGGGAAGAAATAGTTTGACCGTCACATAAAATGTAAGTGTATATATAGAAGTAAATATGTCTGTCTGTCGGCTTATCTACCCGTGAGCAATGTAAGCACAGCTTTCAATAAACGGTTATAGGCAGACATTTGAAAATAAGATGTTATATATGTTGCCATTTTTTTTACCCGGCGGTACATCATGTAGTTTACCTTATATAGTTAAACTATACATTGGCGTTTTTGCTATTAAAAAAATGGTGAAAAATGATCAAAAATTAATAGATGAATAGAATTGGAAAACTATATAGATCAGTAATCATTACTAAATGTATTTTCAGAATTGGAATGCATGTTTAATACGGCATATAGATATAAAAAGATGTGGTATGAGTGCCAATGAGACAACTCTCCATCCAAGTCACAATTTGTAAAAGTAAACCATTATAGGTCAAAGAACGGTCTTCAACACGGAGCCTTGGCTCACACCGAACAGCAAGCTATAAAGGGCCCTAAAAATGACTAGTGTAAAACCATTCAAACAGGAAAACCAACGGTCTAATCTATATAAAAATCGAGAAACGAGAAACACTTATAAACCACATCAACAAACGACAACCACTGAACATCAGGTTCCTGACTTAGGACAGGTGCAAACAAATGCAGCGAGTTTAAACGTATTAATAGTCGCCAACCTTCTCCCTAGCCTGAAACAATAGTGTAATATCACAACATAGAAAGACACACTATAAAATATCAATTGAAATGACTTAACTCAATCAAAAGGCATATTAACAAAAACAAGTGAACATATTTTCATTCTCAATTTTATATACACTGGACGAATAAATCTGATCTATGGCTCAATGAAAATACAAAATTAATTTTAAAAAAGCGAGGGGGGGGGGGGGGGTAGATGTAAAACAATATCAGAAAGACAACCATAACCTTGGACAAAATGCCGCCAAATAAAATAAAAAATGTCTGATTACATTTTAGATGATTGTGTAAGTTGTAGTATAAGATTTTTATAAATACATTTATAAGAACCTGAGACCTTTTCGGAACGCAAAGGATATACAATTTACATCAAATGATAACCTATACGTTTGAAACGCGATGCTTTAATACAAGATCGTTAATGGCTCTTCCTTTACTTTTATTTGTTTGAAGCCCAATAAGCAATGACTGAATGGTAACATATTTGTTTGGTTCAGTTGCTCATACGACTTACTTCGACACATAAAAATAAAAGAAAGGGGTTAAGAGTGGGGTTACAAAATATTAGACAATTTTGATTTTCTGCTTTATTAGTAATATTCAAATTTGGTTTGTGATAATATTTGTGTAGTTGTACAGTATTTGAAACTAAGGTTGTCTGTCCATCTAAGGAACGTATTACTTGCTGGGGATAATTTTGATTGTATCGAGTTAAAGGTCTAATAGGATAACCTGTGTTAGATTTGTTAATCTATTCTTTTTCAGATAATAAACGTATGCACAACATAATCTCTTATCCACAAGTGAAGTCTAGCTAGTGTCAATTCCTTTTTTCTCGTGATTTAATCTGTTCGACAAATATTTTGAACAATGAATGATAAATTATTTATTAACGAAATTGTGTATGCACCAGCATCCCCCAACCCATTTCAAATTTAAAACGGTCTTCGGAAAATAGCGAGAACGTGAGCTGGTTCCCATTTCATTTTATTTTCTTAGAGGTATTAGTTCAACAAAAAAATGACAATTCATCAATATAATTTACGATCTAAAATAAAAGAACTGCATTTTTAATCTGTAGATATATTTTTTTCATAAAATTTAAATCTCCAGGATAACAATATTTCGAACGAGTAAATTATCGGCATAAAGATTAATCCCGGGAAAGTCTAGGTATCAGACCACCAATTCAAAATCCCTATCTATTCAACCAAATATTGCAATTTTCAGGGCTTTCTAAATATTTTACCTTATGTTTGACTTTAAAGAAACTAGGTATATCCTGAATTGTACATGTATCACCTTTCTAATGTTTAAAGTCTCGTAGTGACATTTTGTCGTTCGGAAGACAAGTTCTGCTAAAAATAACCCCTGGTTTTCTCGAAATGTTAAATAAGTATTAGACCGTTGGTTTTCCCGTTTGAATGGTTTTACACTAGTAATTTTTTGGTGCCGTTTATAGCTTACTGTTCGGTGTGAGCCAAGGCTCCGTGTTGAAGACCGTACTGTGACCTATAATGGTTTACTTTTATAAATTTTGACTTGGATGGAGAGTTGTCTCATTGGCACTCATACCACATCTTCTTATATCTATTTATAGCGCATAAGTCCTCAATTTTAATTCAAACTCATGGATAGGTAAATTTTGGCTCAAACTGGTCTACATGTATTTCTCTTTCAGCAAGAGTTTCATTTATGTAAATTCGTTGTTCAGTTTAAGTAAACATTGACATCAAAAGCACTATTTTTTGTCAGGGAAGGGCTACTTTTACATACGTTCTAAATTTAAGTGGGTGAATTGGTGGTCTGACACCTAAAGAGACATAAAAAATTATCAGAAGTCTTTTGATTTTCTTTATTCTTAATCCTTGGTCAATGTGTAGTAAATAAAATCATACCTTACCATAACGCGACTTATATTACAAATCAAACTGACTGTAATGTATGACTTTAATAGAAAATTCTTCAAATTCTATTTCTGACTACATGAACATAAACATTCAATATCAAGATCAATTTTGGTTGACTTTTCTTGTTTGTCCTATTGCTTTAAAGACTTTTTACCACCTTCACAGTGAATCTAATAAAACATAAGAGGTATTGAAGGTCAAAGAACATTAACCCCCCCTTTTTTTATTCTCTTCAAGTGTCAGTAATGGACCATTAATTGATCATTAATGCTGTTATGGTAAAAAACAATTGTTATTTACTATGAGTCATATGTTTTGCAAAATGGGACTTTTTTTCATGCGTCTTCTTTTTAGCAATTGTATGTCAAATTTTCCTTGTACATATCTCTTGTTTGAGAATTACTGTATGTAAGGCCATCTCCATTATAAAATAATTTCGTTAAAAAAACAAATTCTGTTCGAAAATAACACTTTCATTATTCTTTGGCTGAAAATCACTTGTAACTACACTCATATTTTTACCATAGTTCTCAAATATTGAATAACAAAAGAACAAATTATGAAGTTGCAATAAGGTTTCCTCGACATTCCTGGGGTTTCAAAGATTTAACTAAACACGAACTATTGCATACTTCTATTTTGCTAGTCATGTCGCACTCGTTTTATATTATTTAGAAATAAAGCTAATAGCCAAATGAAGTTGTCAGAAAATAAACAAAACATTACAAATAAAAACAACTGCTGAAATTATTATGCATGTTTGTTTTGTTCACACATCGTTGTCAATATAATGGAAATTTATGCGACTGTCATACAAGTGAGAGGTTTATTAAGCTATAAAACCAGGTTTAATCCACCATGTTCTACATAATAAAATGCCTGTACCAAGTAAGGAATGTGACAGTTGTTAACCAGTTCGTTTGATGTGTTTGAGCTTTTGATTTTGCCATTTGATAAGGGATTTTCCGTTTTGAATTTTCCTCGGAGTTCGGTACTTTTGTGATTTTACTTTTTTTGTCACTTATAAAACAAAAATGCCAACAAACAAATAACAGCTGACATGATAATAATTATGATATTACGAAGCATCCCATTGCTTTTTCGAAAGCTGAAACTTATGTCTTCTTTATGTTTATCGAGGTAGTTATACAAGTAGTCATCCGTAAAA